ATGGCATGTTGGATGCCATCTTCTTCCCGGATGAGTACTGAGCTGGTGGCTGCCGGGCTAACACCAAGGTAAAGGTACAGGGTTTCCCCTACCTTGGGTTTGGAGAGCACAGGGGGTGAAGATAAATACTGTTTTAGTTCGTTGAAGGCCTCCTGGCATTCTGAAGTCCATTGGAAGCCGGCGGTCTTCCTCATTATCTGGAATAAGGGTAAAGACTTCTCCGCCGATTTGGATAGGAAGCGGTTGAGGGCTGCCAGGCGGCCCGTCAACCGTTGGACCTCCTTCACGCTGCATGGGGGCTCCATGTTGACGATGGCCTAGATTTTCTTGGGGTTGGCCTCGATACCCCTTCGGATCACCATGTAGCCTAAGAATTTGCCTCCTTGTACGCCGAAGGTGCATTTCTTCGGGTTTAACCGAAGGTTGAACTTTTGCATGATGGCGAAGATCTCCCGGAGGTCATCAACATGGCTTGATGACCGTTTGCTTTTGACAATCATGTCATCAACATAGGCCTCCATGGTGCGCCCTAGGATAACTTGAAAGACTTTGGCCACCATCCGGGTGTAAGTGGCGCCTGAGTTCTTTAGGCCAAAGGCCATCACAAGGTAGCAGAATATGCCATCGGGAGTCATGAAGGTTGTTTTCGGCGTCTTCCTCATGCATGAAAATTTGGTGATACCCTCGGAAGGCATCGAGGAAGGACATGATCTCGCACCCTGCGGTCTCATCCACCCGTTGATCAATATTTAGCAAGGGGAAGGGGTCCATGGGGCACGCCCTATTTAGATCAGTGTAGTCTACGCACATGCAGAAGGTGGGCGTCTTTTGTGCGAGGACTACGTTAGCCAGCCATGAGGGGTATTTTACCTCCTTGATGTGCTTGATGGAGAGGAGCATGGCGACCTCCTTGTTCACAAAATCCCTTCTCACGGCCGAGAGGGGTCTTCTTCGGCTGTGGGTGATGACCCTTCGGCTGATTCCGAGCATATCCTCCGGCCCCCATGCAAAAACAATGGAGTAGGCGCGGAGGGCTTCAGTTATGCCGGTCTTCAGGTCTTCGGGGAGCTTGGATCCAATCTTCACAACCCTCTCCGGCTTGGCCGGATCGAGTGCGAAGTCTTCTACTTCCTCGGTGGGGTCAGCCCTCGGCCCTTTCTCTTCTTCCTCCACGGTTCCGGTGATGGTGTCAACACGGAATTCGGTCTTACTAACCTTCTTTGTCACTTGAAGGTAGCAAGCGCGGGCAAGTTTTTGATTCCCCCTTGAGTACCCGATGCCTCCTTCGGCGAGAAACTTGAGGCACAGATGCCTCATGGAGATGATGGCTTCGAGGTCCTCGAGGGCTGGTCTACTGAGGATGATGTTGTGGGCGCAGTCGATGTCGATGACGACGAACTCCACTTCGAGCTTGGCTCTATGGAGCCCGTCGCCGAATAATACCGGGAGGGTAATGACCCCCTCGGAATCAATGGTGTTTCCGGTGAAGCCGGCGAGAGGGGTCTTGATGGGCTGAAGGGACCCCCTCTCCAGATGCAGCTCTCTGAATGTGCTGAGGTACATTACATTGACGGAGCTGCCCGTGTCAATGTAAGTTCGGTGGATGATGGTGTTGTTCATCTCCGTACGGATGACGAGGGCATCCCTGTGCGGAGAGGAAGCCGGGGGGAGATCGGCGTTGGTGAAGGTGATGGGTTCCTCCCTCAGCCGCTTTACCGGGGGCATATGAGTGACTTCCCCCACCTATAGCGATTGAACCCACTTCTTCCGCTGGCTGGTGGAGTCCCCTCCTGTGTTGCCTCCAGTGATCATATGGATGTGGCGCTTTTTCTCCTGGTACTGGCTGTACTCCTCCTCCCCATCGAGGTTTCCAATCTCCCTTTTCTTACTCTTCGGGTCGCCGAGGGGGATGGTGTTTGGGTTGACCCAAGCGTTTGCTTTCTTAGGGGGGCCTGGTAGTGAGGGGTCCCCTGAGGTGGAGGGCCCCTGATGAATTGGGATAGGTGGCCTGCCTGTATCAATCTTTCAATGGCCGTCTTCAGCTGATGGCAGTCATTGGTGCTGTGCCCTTGGTTACGGTGGAACTGGCAATAAGGATAATTGGGGTTGATGGCGTATACCTCCAGGGGTGTGCGAGAGTCGCGCTCCACGAGTCCCCTCTCCTCGGCGAAGTCTAAGATGACACTGACGGGGTGCGTCAAGGGAGTCCGAGGGTGCTCCAAAAGAATGGGCTGGGCCCAAGCCTTCGGGTTTCCCTTGTAACCTCCTCTGGGCTTGGCTTGGCCATGCCGGGGGCGATCACTGGGGTGCTGAAACCTTGGATTGATTATGGGAAGCCCCCGGTTACCCTTGTCATCTGGCCGAGGGCGTTGCTGATCGGGGTTGTGATGACACTTTTCCACCTCCTCGGCCTCGGCGTACCGGTCCCCCCCGCTGCAGAGCCCTTATGTAATCGCGGGGAGGTTCGATGATGAGGCTCCTTGAAAAGTTCCCGGGGTGAAGGACTATTTGAAGGAGGGCCAGGAGGGTCCCATCGTCAGCGCCATCGAATTTATCAACCTCCGTCCTCCAACGTTCCAAGAAGCCCCGAAGGGTCTCCTCTTTCTTTTGTCTCACCGTCAGCAAGTGGGAGAAATGTTTTCTTGACTGGCGCCTTCCTGCAAATTGCGTCAAGAAGCGTTGGGCGAGTTCTTGCCATGAATCGATGCAGCCTTCGGGCAGTCAGTTGAACCATTCTTACGTCGGTCCCTCCAACGTGGAGAGCAACCAATGGCACAAATATTCGTCTGATGCCCCCACCATCATCATGTTGTTTTGGTATCAGCTGTAATGTTCCTGAGGGTCCGTCTTTCCTTCATAGGGCCTGATGGGCTGCCCCCGGTATTTTTTCCGGAATTTGAGCAGCCAATATCCGTGGGGTAAATGGCGTCCTAGTCCGGAGTTGGATGACGGGTTCCCCGGAGCCTTCGGCTATTTTCTTCTGCATTTCCTCCATTTTGGCCAGCATGGCCTCATATTTTGGATCTGCATGAGGGGTGGCGACGGCAGTATGTGCTCGATGAGCCTCCATCTCATTAAGTCGACGTTGGAGGGCCGCAATGATTTCGTCCCTGGGATCCTTCGGGAGGGCCTCCGCCCCCTGCGAACGAACACGGGTCAAGTGGGCCTGATTGATTTGGTGCCTTGCGTCATCGGCATGAAGTGGTGCCTTGCCTTTGTCCTGATGGGGACGCCTCTCGTCTGCCTTGAGACGGATCCCCCGCTCTCTTGGGGTCTTTGGGACGCCTTTCCACCGAGGCGGTCTTGGACCCATCGGCGGTCTTGCGCTCCTCCGAGCCTCTCGAGGGCTGAGGTCCGAGGCCTTTCTTTGTTCGCACCGCGTTGGTCCCGGGATTGGACCTCATGGGAAACGGTGTCTTGAGCCACGACCCCTTCGTCGTTCCCCACCCGAAGGGTAGGGTTCACGAAGGGGGGTGGCCGTGGGAGAAGAACAGCGTTCTCCCCGATTTGCGGTTGGAGGGGCACCAGGGTGCCGAAGGAGTCTGGGTTTTGAGTGAGTGTCTGGATGAAGGCAAAGAATGCTGACTGTACATTGATAGTGAGAACCGGAGGGCTCACTTGATTTTCACTCTGGTCCCTCCTTCGGGTTTTGATGTCAAGGCGGGCATCGGGAGCGTTTTGTTGGAGCTGAAGGCGCAGGTCAACAGCAGCCTGTTCCAACTCAGTGATGACCCCGCCCTCGGGAGCCTTGTTAGAGGCTCCGGGGGCGTTGAATTCACCGAGGGCCAGGTTGTTATCCTCAAGGTTCTTGGACTGAGCACGGGTGGTTCTTCCCATTTTAGTAGGCGTGTTTAGGTGAATGGGAGGGTTTCTTACTTGATTGTTCGACCTCTCAACGAGAGCACCAAATGATGGATAAGTGTACCCGGGGGGTATCTATCCGAGGGGTTACTACGGGGAGTATCTAGAGAGAAGTCAGAGCAAAAGTAAGAGAGAGAATATATATTGCTAAGAAGGTGTTGAGCGTATTGAGCTTGGATCACAAATGGGGAAAGGGGTGCTGTTTATAGTAGTAATAAATGCCAGATAGGGACACATGTCATCATTCTAGTGGTCGAGGGGTCACCTCAACGGGGTGGCATTGGCACTCGCACGTGGCTGTATTAAATGCGGTGGTTGGATGTGACGTTTGTACACGGTACATTGATCCAGCGCATGTGGGTGGGAGATTTTGTCGAGGAGATGCCTTCGGCCGTAGATGATTGGCCGAAGGATCTTCATACCGGGGGCCTCTAGGTGCCGAGAGCTACTGTTTTTGCCACTTTCTCCCAGACACTTTGAGTGCTTAAAAGAAGCTGTATTGTGAGTTTATTAGCCTTCGGCCAGGGGGCCGAAGGCACACCAGTGTTCGCCATGGGCTGTTTGGCACTTGGGGCGCTGTGATTTGGGTCTGCTGTGCTTCTTGGGCCTATTGGGCCTCTGCTACAGTAGTGGGAGTCTATGGACCGGGGGTTCCTGGACCATATACTCCATCAAGAACAATATTAGTAGTTCATGTCCTTTTTTTATATTCAGCAAATTTAGCCAAAAAGTATCTCCAGCCCTAATTTATTTCATTATGAACCAACAGTCAAATAAGTCAAGAGTTCGATAATGCACAATAGGCTGATAACACTGATAAGCCGGAATGTGGCCACCGGAGGGCCATTATGTGTATAGGTATTTGAAAAGTACAAATTTGAGCATACAAATAAAGATTCAGCAGTTCCATTCACAAAAGTAATTGAGGGCCACAGTTGATTTCCCAGATCAAGAATGCAAATACGCAAACCATACCTGGATGAATCAGATATGATCATCTGGATTCATGGCACAAAGAAACCTTCATTTGAAGGATCTTTTGATGAGGTTTGAGACCCTAACCATTTTCACAATCATTTTCACTATCGAATAGCCATCATCAGATTTGGTAAAAAGCTTAAAGTTTAAATCTCAACTGTCCCTGAAACGCATCAATCCCTCCAATAAGTCGAATTGTCTAGTGGTCTTCTTCCGATACGCCAGGGCAGTCACCCGTAAGTGCCTCCAAAGAATCATACTGACATCCACAGAACAGGAAGTAATAATATTCATCTCTCAATTTCATCAACATTGTTAGCAAATCCTCTCCCGTGATGATTTCTTCTTCTTTCTCTTCCTCTTCTCCTTCTTCTTTTTCCTTAGCCTCTTCAACGACCTCCCTATTCTCCAATTGGGCTAATACAGCCTCAGCCTTGTGAAAGTTGACAACAACCCTCCGCCCTTTCCACCTCTCTTTTTGGCGATGCTCAAAGTCTACCATAAGTTCTTCCTCCTTCTTTTGCCCAATTTCAGATTTCTCTTTTTCTATCCTTGCCTTCTCTAATCTCGAGTCTTCCTTCCCAAGCCCAGCACGACCTCTTCGAATTTCCAATCCCACCAGTTCAACCCTTACTGAACCATCCTTCCCTAAACTGGACCCAGGAATGTATCCCATTTGTTTCAACATTTTAACCCAATGTTTGATTCAGGAATTGCTGATTCTAAGTTGGCCAGTATTTGTTGATCCTCTTCAATTTGCTTTTGTTGTCGTTTAAGTATTCTCTGTTCTTGCCAGGTTAGGGGTTTGCGCTTGTTTACAGATTTTGAGACTACGGAGAGTTTATTGCTAGAAACCTTTTCGAAAGATGGAGAAGCTTCCGAAGGTAGAAACTGGGAAAGGTCTCCCATGTAATCTTCTTCCCCTTCGACCATTGCCAGTGAAGGAACAGGACTCCTGACTTCTGGGTTATCTATTAGGTGAGCACTGGGGGAGTGCTCGCTAGTAGTTCATGTCCACCTATGGCCATTTGACCAAACCTACTTGCACCACTATTAGCATTTCGTACACTCTGAATCAGGAGCAGTGTAATAGGGAGATTAAGCACCTCTTGCTTGCAAATATCACATGTCTTGTTCCCTTTAATGCTAAACCATTTAACTTCACATTCTTGGTGGACCAGAGCAAGTTTACCTTTACAATTGCACTCCATCACGACTGCCTCTCCACCTTCAAACAGTTCAACCAAACAGATCCTACAAACAACTTCTTCTTCAGGTACATCTTCACCATCTTCCTCGTTTTCTTCTGAAAAAAACTATTGTTAGATTGGGTGCACCCAAAACCATACACCTAATAAAATTAAAATTGTCGTTAAATAGCAAACAAATATAAGTAGTAGAGAATAGTCTTGATAATCCCAGAATACTTAACAAACAACAAATATAGCAGTTATAGAAGAAGAAGATAGAAAGATATGAAGATATTATACGAATCTGGTATACCGTGTAAACTGGCCGCTGCTCTCCCTGGAGAAGGAGAGCAGCGGCAAACCCTATCTCTCTCTATCTTTACGCCTCTGAACTCTAAGCCTCTATCGATCGTTAGGGTTCCCGTAAGTTAGCCTCCTTTTATAGGAGAAGTTGGCTAACTTACGGGTTACAAGGAAGCCCACGGGCTGATACACATTTGTGGCCCGTATTACACGATTAATTAATAACTACACAAATACAAAGATAACTAACTAGATTGAACACCATAAAATATTCCCAACAATCTCCCCCTTGGTGATCAATCGTGTTGAATCAGCATTGCAGCGCAGATATCTTTGTCTTTGTTGTTATTGAGCTTCCTTTGTCTTTGAACTTGACTTCTGAGGAAGGCTATCTGAAGAAATCCTTGCAATCTCCCCTTTGATGTCTTCTTGACAATTTGATCTTTGATGCCGGGGGTTGAGGAATCTTCAATATCTTACATGTAGTCCATGCCTTCCAGAAGTTGCTCTTGATCAGCTTGGATGAAGTCCGGTGACGCCTCTATAATGAATATTATTTGGAGAATAGGAGGCGCCCTTGGAATTCATCTTCAGGACACGAGTATTTGACCTCTGTCTCCTCCACAATGTAGTCTTTTTGAGGAGAACTTGTCGGTGGCACAGCGGAACATAATGATGGTTGATTTGTGAGTGTAGCTGACCATTTGATATGAGTTGCGGAGATAGTAGAGAGGGTGTTGAATTTTGTGATGGAGGAGTGAAGTGTCCCAGAATGATTTGTTCAGTGTTAACAGCATGTGGACCACTTTTTTTTTTCAAGTGTAAACCTTCTCTGATATACCGTGAATCTTTCGTACAAGAATGATAAGCGCTAAGGCTATTTTGAGCAGATACGAAAGTTAACCGCAAACCTGAGTCCTCCTCCCTCTTTTATAGGCGAGGCTCAGGTATGCATACAAAGGCTTCTTGCCTGAGTATGGGCCTAACACTTGGCCCATATTGTATACTATTCTAGCAGATATATTTAATCAGTACAGAATAGAAATAGCAAACATCTAACTTATTACAGATAAGACAGACAAACTTGATTCACAATAAATAGTATTCAACAATCTCTAAGCTTCTATCGATTGTTCGGGTTCCCGTAAGTTAGCCTCCTTTTATAGGAGAAGTTAGCTAACTTACGGGTTACAAGGAAGCCCACGGGCTGATACACATTTGTGGCCCGTATTACACGATTAATTAATAACTACACAAATACAAAGATAACTAACTAGATTGAACACCATAAAATATTTCCAACAATCTCCCCCTTGGTGATCAATCGTGTTGAATCAGCATTGCAGCGCAGATATCTTTGTCTTTGTTGTTATTGAGCTTCCTTTGTCTTTGAACTTGACTTCTGAGGAAGGCTATCTGAAGAAATCCTTGCAATCTCCCCTTTGATGTCTTCTTGACAATTTGATCTTTGATGCCGGGGGTTGAGGGACCTTCTGTATCTTGCATGTAGTCCTTGCCTTCCAGAAGTTGCTCTTGATCAGCTTGGATGAAGTCCGGTGACGCCTCTATAATGAATATTATTTGGAGAATAGGAGGCGCCCTTGGAATTCATCTTCAGGACACGAGTATTTGACCTCTGTCTCCTCCACAATGTAGTCTTTTTGAGGAGAACTTGTCGGTGGCACAGCGGAACATAATGATGGTTGATTTGTGAGTGTAGCTGACCATTTGATATGAGTTGCGGAGATAGTAGAGAGGGTGTTGAATTTTGTGATGGAGGAGTGAAGTGTCCCAGAATGATTTGTTCAGTGTTGAATTCTTTTTGGGAATATTTTATGGTGTTCAATCTAGTTAGTTATCTTTGTATTTGTGTTGTTATTAATTAATCGTGTAATACGGGCCACAAATGTGTATCAGCCCGTGGGCTTCCTTGTAACCCGTAAGTTAGCCAACTTCTCCTATAAAAGGAGGCTAACTTACGGGAACCCTAACGATCGATAGAGGCTTAGAGTTCAGAGGCGTAAAGATAGAGAGAGATAGGGTTGCCGCTGCTCTCCTTCTCCAGGGAGAGCAGCGGCCGGTTTTCATACGGTATACCAGATTCGCGTATAATATCTACATATCTTTCTATCTGCTTCTTCTATAACTGCTATGGTTGTATGTTTGTTAAGTATTATGGGATTATCAAGTCTGAGTAACAAAACGAGATATATGCAATTCACTATATGTAAATGATGAAATTACATCGAGAGGTTGTCGAAAATTCCGCAACGAATCAACTTAGGTAATCTAGCATCCTATCTAGCATCTTTAATGGTGCACCTGTAAAGGTGGAAGGCTTCTATTTGGTTTTCGAAAATCAGAGTGTCATTGGAGCCGTAGGTGTTTATTTTGCAATGGTAGACTCTGAATCGAAAATCCTCCAGAATGTAGCCGGTTCTGTTGGTGAGGCCATGCCGATCGATTTCAAGCTTCCCGATCTACCGAGTTTCGGGAAGTCAAGGATAAAAATGGAAGCAATTTTCTCAATTTTTTTTCAATATTTTTTTAAGGTCGTACTAGTTAAAAAAAATCGAGGTGGGCCTCGACCCAAAGAAAAAGTGGAGGGAATCTCTCTATATACAAACAGCCGTGGAACAGCAGGCCATTTTCCCGCCCATTCCACTGGCAAAACGGGTCAAGCCGGGTCAAAAAATGGGCAGAAAGCGAAGGTCAAGCAAAGCATTTAATGTTTGTCTCGAAACTTTTCCAAGAATTAAATGCAAAGTAAAATACGGCTGAGAGGATTTTAGAATGGATCTTTAAAGTACAAATGCATTAAATGAATTGCAAATCAAGCACACTTTGTGGGGTAATTTTATTAGTTGTCCATCTTATCAAGCCTTTTACCTATAAATTGAATTGTTGTGCATTTAATGTATTACAATTTACAAGTACAGATTCGGTTGTGATGTTAGTTAATTCTCTCTCTTCTGCACAAACCTCAAGCTCACAGTTTTTAATTTATTAATCTTCGTGCCAGTCAAATTTGGCAAAGTTATTAGGGACATAGGGAGTATTTTTAAAGTATAGGCAATGGTCGCACATGACCTTCTGAGCAAAAAGACATGATCACTCTTCATGAGATTCACAAAGCCTTCAGGTTGAGACATAGATTTTCTTTTGTACATCACCATGCAAGAAATCAATGGTGACATCCATTTGCTTCATTTCTCAATCATTATGAGTAACAAGAGCCATTTAGCGTGACAGATGAAATGAATGACAAGGTATTTCATAACATAATAACCGCTGCTTCATAACAAAGAAGCGCAGACAGTTTAGTGTGCCATTTTGCTTTATTCCATCATAATCTCAGGCCATTTTGCAAATGATGGAACACTTATGAGCTTAATATTTTATTGAAATGTAATAGTGGGCTGGGCCAAGTAATTACATAGATTGAGGGAAGCCTTATTTGGAAAAGAATAATAGAAGAGGGAGAAGAAGACATAATTTGGATCTGGAATTAGGCCTTGGGAGTGTGAGACAACTCGAACTGCTCAAACCTTTCTTCTATTTTCTATTTTCCGCTACTTCACTGGGGGTCATTTTCTCAGATTTTATCAATTGAACACTGAATTTTTTTTTGCTTTGTTTAGGTACCAAACAATGGTATTAGAGCAATCGACGTCTAGAAACGTGGAGAAGCGCTCTGGTTTGCGCAAAGAACATCGATGGTCAGAACTGGCTGCATCTGGTTCGCGTGAACAGTGAGAAATGCACCAGCATGGAAAAGGTATGAAAGAACATGGAGAAATGCACCAATGTGGAGAAGCTCGCGGAAAAGGTGGAGTGCGGAAAAGGTGGAGTGCGGAAAAGTGGAGAAGCCCGTGGATAACGTAGAACGTGATTGGGAGAAAAAGTGGAGGATCTGGTTGGACGAGTTTCGCACGGAGCCGCGTCAACAACGTCACCGAAGAACTAGAGACCGAGCGAGGTCTAGCTTCAACCAGCATCGTCGTCTCCCAATTCGTTGCGATTTTTTTCTCCTCACCTATCTTGTTAGATATAGTCGTTAATGGAATAAGAAGTAAGGAGTTAGACCTTAGACACTCGAGGGGTAGTAACAATTAGTCTAAGACTTTGGTGAAGTGTTGTTTGTGAGGGGTAGGTCTAAGAGTAGATCTAGAAACCATAAGAAAGGTAGCAACAATAAGAACCAAAACAATAATAATGACCCATGTAAGAAGAGAGATAAGTCTAAGAAGAAAGTGTGCAATAATTGCGGAAACTCTAGCCACTTTATTAAAGATTGTCCTCACCCTAAGGATTCTGTGTCCTCCATCCCTTTATGTGAATCTTGTGTGTTAGGCAAGCAACATAAGGTTACATTCCCCTCTTCCCCTTACCCTAATCCCACTAAGTGTACCTCTGTGTTAGAGTATGTTCATGCTGATGTGTGGGGTCCTGTTAGTGTCTGTAACCACAGGGGTAAGAGATATTTTCTGTTCATTATCAATGTTTTT